TTGCAGAATTAGGCGAAACCATAAAGAATAAATCAATTATTTTTGTTGAAGAATATGTGTTTTTGGTCATTCTACTGTGTACAATAACTTAATGGGTCCATTTTATTTGTCAACTAATGTACCATTTGAATTAAAGGTGCGTCTATAGTTGTGACACGTAGTGTATATTATAATCTTAGTTCGTCTAAGTATAATGACAATAAAATGTATCACCATTTTGTTCCAAACCAGAACATGCTATGTATACTTAGACGACTAATCAGAGTAGGAAGGTCCGTAACAAAACATGCTAAGTCGACTTAGCCGACTTCTTATGAAATGTTTGTCCATGCCTATGTATTCTAAGTTGTTTTTAGCTATAATCTGCTAGAAAATGTTAAATTTAGACGTGCTACCAAAGTTATATTTAAATTTCGTTAAAATCAGTAACACACTCAATGTTCTATCTCACACCACTTCCGAGATAACGCCCGTAAACTTTGAGAGCTTCTCCTGAAAAACTCACTTTTCAGACTAAGCATACTATTCTTCGGAGGAATTCGAATTGTAGTACAACAAAGTGAATAATAATTATCCGATTGAGACTAAACTTTGTACAGCGTACCAAATTGAGTCCGGAGTGACGTGTGTTAAGTTTTGTTGAATAGGTTCAGATTTAGACATAGCGTCCATATATATTTTCGTCGGATTTTGTGTAAATTATAAATTAAAGCCCCTATATTTCCTTCGATTTGCACGAAATTTTTCATAGCGAACAGAATAGAGTCTAGAGTGATGTGTGTGAAGTTTCGTGAAGGCTACCGTAAAAAATATAAATATAAAACATAACATTAATATAAGATCAGAATTTCTATCTTCAATATTGCGAGCTTTAGTTTTTTAAAGGAGTGTAGTTACGTCCGTTTGAATTTCTTTAACAAAATCGCTGTTTTTGATGTTAGATGCCTAAATTTTTGTGTGAACATGTAGTTTGATTAGACGAACAATAATCAAACAAGAGTCATATTCGATTTTTTCTGTTGTTACGTCCGTTTGCATTTATGATGACGATATACATATGATATATATTACGATATATATTATGACACCCATATCTTGGGGTTATGTAAATACGTGAAACCATATTGAAAAACTTTATTGCAGAATATAGCAAATAAAGGTTTATATTTTAACATATGATTTTTTCTAAAAGTATTGTAAGCAAGTAGAGGACATATTTATAATCCGAAGGAGATGAAATACCTTGTGAAAATCGGTTCAGATTTCTATGTAGCTTCCATATATTGTTTTGTGCGATTTTACACAATTGCACTAAAGCCCCAGTTATAATTCGAGAATTTCATTTGTAATTAATAGAATACCTTTCGGAATTCATAGAATTCCATCTGAAATTCATAAACTTTCGTTTGAAATTCCAAGTATTGCATTCGAAATCCGTAAAATTCCATTTGAAATTTAAATAATTCCATTTGAAATTCTTCAGATTTGATTTGAAATACATAACATTTTATTTGTTTTTCATAACATTTAATTTTGAATTCGAAAAATATTATTGGCAACACACAAGGAATATGTATGAATTTGAAATGAATTGTTAAGAATTACAACTGAATATTATGAATTACAAGTGAAATGTTACAAATTTCAAGTTGAATTCTTGGAATTTTAAAGGGATTTTTTTGAATTTCAAATGAAACTCTATGGATTTTTTTTTCAAATGGATTTTTTGAACTTCATATGAAAAGTTTAAAATTACAAATGAAAAGTTGTGGATTACCAATTACATACTACACCTTTTTCAAATGTTATTCTAAACATAATCTATATATATATATATATATATATAAAAATGGAGCAAGAAAAATGTCAAAGCAAGAAAAATGTCAAATCGGTCCCGCCGTTCTCAATTGATGCGTTAGTATACATCAGTTGAGAACGGCGGGACCGATTTGACTCAAAATATCTTTCAGTGGTCGGTAATTATAGTAGAAAGGTTTTTATGAAAGAAAATTTTGAGAAAAATCCGCAAAAATCTTGCAAAAATTATTTTAAAGAAACGGCTGGACCGATTTGACTTAAAGTTTCTGTTAGTAGTATGTAATTGAAGTGAAAAGGTTTTAATGAATGAACATTTTGAGAAAAATCCGCGAAAATGTTGCAAAATATATTTTGAAAGATATTAGCATTTCCACACATTTTATATCGAACCTTTATGGTTTCATATCTTCGTAGTTATTTTTTGACATATTTTAGACGAAAATGGGCAGCGTATATCTCAAAATATGTTAATTTTCTACAATTAATTGGATTGGCATTGCCTTGAAAAAACTATTGTATATGAAAATAAATTTACACATATTTTCATTTGAGTTAAATTTAATAATAAGAAATCGAAAAGAGAGAGTAAGATTAATCGCTATCATTATTTGCTCGCGTTTTCCATAAAATAAAGATTTATTTACTTTGAAAATATAAGTTATAAGTTAGGTTGTAAACATTTTCTCAAATAAAACACTGAAAGACATGGTAAAATAAAGATTAAGCGGTTCCATTATGTGGAGCCTATACCGAAAACTATACCGGCAATTATAAGGGAAGTTTCTTACCCTATGTGGAATACCGAGTTAAAGGCAATTAAATGGATATTTTGTTACTACTTTCCAAGTACTTAAAATCGGATAAGCATGCTTATAAACGCACAATAATGGAACAAATTATTTTACTTATAAATACAACACATATCCCATGTGATATCTGGGCCACTGACCGAAACTTGATCGTGTCCTTAATAGGAAACAACATCAGGAATATTTTTGAAAAAATTGCCAATACATACACATATGTTTTTATGTTTTAGTAAAAACGAAAACGTCTATCAAAATATTCAATATAGTTCAATGATTTTTCGCTATATACGACTACAAATACGTCAACAAAATACGATTGTACTATTGAACATTTACTTATATTCGTGAAGAATACATTTAAATTCGAATCCTACATGGAGGCAATTCCGCATTACATGCTGTCTAACTTATATGTGCATTTATGGTTCCTCAAATGTATTTTTAAAGATGTGAAATGAAAACGTGAGTGAAGTCGGTGCGTCAATACACCAAGACTGCACCGACTTCACTCACGTTTTCGGCTGTTTGTAATTGCATTGGGATGGTTTTTACGAAGAAAATGTTGAGAAAAACATCAAAAAGTCGGGAAATTAGAATTATCGAACGTTGTGTTAGTTACATCGTTTATAACTTATAGTACGTCTTTCGTTAACCCAGTGGGTACAATTTCTTTGTATATATGTCAAATAAATCCTCATAAAGTAGGTTAACCCGGTAAAAAGTTCTAATGTATATGCCGTTTTAAGTACGTCTGAACTGATTTTGAAGAATTATAAATCGTATGTGGTCAGAATAGGAAAATATACAAAGTAATTGTGATATTCCGCCAAAACAAATATATAAATTAATATTTACAATTCCCCAATTTTTGTATCGAGCTTTAATGTTTAAATATATTGTTGTTTTTTAAGACATATGGCGTTTCAAAACGTCCAATTTCATAAATATATGTATGTTCTAAAGCTAATAATGCGAAAATTAACATCGACGAAAATAATGGTATTGATAGCATTATTAATATTCCCGTAAGATATTTGAAGTTTTGTCTTATTTTCTTCAGAGCCCAAGCTGTTGGATATGAAATCTGATTTTCATATTTGTCAAAAGAGTGTATTTCGGCAATGTTTCTTTTTTGATGTTAACTTGAAGTTTGGATGTGGACCTTTGTAACCTTAAACAACAGCTTATTTTAAATTGAAATTATTTTAAATTGAAATCATGTTGTTAAACAATGTGAGGATATAACAAATCCGATTACAAAATTTCGATTTAGAGTTAAGACATAAAACAGGCATTTACCATTAAAATAAGGTATACGGCGTCAACATTGGCCAAACTTTTCCCCCATAACTGTCAGAAACTATTTATAGAATATATTGCAAACATATACAAATCTATAAAGGCAATCTGAAAACTAATTAACAATTTGTTTAAAAATGAAATATACCTGTAACTAAGCGGGAACCACTAAATTTTTATGCCAAATCTAAAATTTGTCGAGTTATATACTGGTTTCAATATAAAAATTAAAAGGACAGTTGGACATGAACAAAATGATATTGTAATTAAGGATCCTTCAAGAAGGGACAAATAAGATAATGTAAAAACGTTGGAGCAATAACAAAACATGATCTTCTATTGAAAAAACATTTGGTGAAATAAGTTCTACCAAATTATAAACTGTTATTTGCTTGGACCTGCATTGGGGTACCAGTTAATACTTTTTATTGACATACACTTAGTGGCAAATGTTTTTATTATATTGATGCAATATTGATAAGGCAAAACAACGTTTGCCGGGTCAGCTAGTAAATTATATAATGTTTTTTAATGAATATGTATATATGTGATATTGTTGGATATTTTAAACACGTAAATAGATTACAAAATGTTCCTACTAGAAACGCCGGTGTTCGACGCCAACTGAATTTGACCAAATCAGTTTCTAACAATTTAGAGTCGTCGTCTGGTTGTTTTTGGTCCGAACTACATTGTCTTTCAAATCGTTTCTAAATGCCATAGAATAGCATTATGAAATCATTCTATTTGTAAAACGTATATTGGCAATCAGTAAAAAAATTCTTTCAATTTTATTTCTGCAATAGACTTGCAACATATTTATAACATTAATAAAGAAAAATCATATATACATATATAAATACATACACTTATATGCATATTCATGGCAGCTATACAAATTAAATTTGGTATTTTCAATTGCACAATCACAAATTCGTTCACTTTGTGATGTAAAATATGATAGAACATTAAAAATAAAAACAAAATAAAACAATAAATATAATAATAAATATTAATAAAAAACAGGAATGGCTAGACTTGTACATCACAGCTGCACATATCACATCCATTAAATCAGTTTCCATCATTATTTAGGTTTGATGCCTCAGTAACTCCATCACTTGACAACTGAGCTTGATGCATTAACTTGTCCATTTCTTCCTTAGTGGCACGCTTAAAGAAGCCAGCTCTGTACATGCCATAGGTAATTAAGGCCAGAGCCAATAGACCGCCGATGACAGACACTATTATCACCCATATAGGTGTACCATACAGTTGGTGCTTCGATATAATATTATACTCTAACTTTTTGGTAACAGCCAATGTTGTGCCCAAAGGATCTCCCGTCTTTTGCACATTCAAATCTACTACTACCACGAAGAATTCCCAAGGTTCGATGAGAATCTGATTGACCTCCTTCAAGTCCACGTGGTATTTCATGGTCACTGTGACTGGTTTATTGGGTTTGAAATCGTACAAGGTAATAACAGCGCGCACACACATCGTCGTTTCCGGATCGTTACAATTGAACACAATGGTACGATTAACCGGAAGAGTTCCCTTCAAGTCCTCCCCTAACAATTCATATGACTTTGAATTGGTGATGCGAGCGTAATTTTCTTTATTGGCTGTAAGGGTAGTCGCTTCACGACGTCTGCGACGACGTGCCGTTGAGCTAGACATAAACGAATCTACAGAAAAATAGGAATTATTTGATAAATGCTATCAATTCGATCTTCGTACTGCTGCACTTCACAACCTACCTCCAAAGGATTCCTCTCTAATATTAAATTCATTAACATGGCCCATATTTGTGGAGTCATAATGCATGCCATTGTTGCCTCCGCCGCCGTTTACAAGTTTGCTGGTGAATTGTGTGGAAAAGCTGGATGTTGTTTCGACTGCGTTCATTAGAATTTGAGTCGTGTTCTGGTAGAACTGGACATCTTTGATTTGGGCATCATAGACAGCTTGCATTGTAATGTTGCTCATGTCGACAATTGGTATTGTTTTCGTAGTATCGGGTATCCTATAGGCCACTGGTATATCAAAAACGATTTTCATCGAACCAACATTACTGGGTCCAACGCTCTTGATCTGTTGATGTGAAATACAGATTTATAATTTTTTGCATATGCGTTATTACTTTGAAAATACGAATTTTTGTAGGAATATTAATTTAGGATGAGCTTGGAAGCTGAATTTTTAAAAGCCTTATTCATTGCTGTTCCCTGTTGATCCCTAACCAATGCGCTCCATAAAGAATTACTATCACTGCTCTTATTCTTTTTGCGGAGAAAATGTTTGTATTTTATTATAGAATGTCTCCTATTTTCGACCGCATACACTAAATTATAGGTCAACAACATCTATTTTATACGATGGTCATTCGGTCAATATCTTCCCTGAATGAATATCTACTAAATAAAATGAACATTCTTCCCTCAAAAATTATTGTCTATTTAAGTCATAATTTGGATCCGTATAGCGACTAAAACAAAGTTATTGTTAAATTTGATAACCTAAGTATTAAATGATCATCTCCAAAAACTATACGTAGCCTTTTACAGAATTGCAACTACATGCAAAAAGTCGATACACTACGATCAGTAAACCAAAAAGTGTGACAATTTTTCGTGGTGTAAATCCTTTAGTTATATTGCTTAGACATTAATGGGAGAACACAAATGTTCTATCGGCAGTAAATTCCCGAGAGAGGAACATATATGATTTACATTTATAAAATTGTCGTTGATATTGAAAATGGTATACGGTACCCTAAAATAGTCGGTATTTTTTAAGCTACTGGGTTCGTATTTCCACCCTAATAAACTGTAATTTTTGGTTCTCACTGAGTAGAAAATCTTCCAACCCAAAAGATAAACTATATTGGTTTATCTTTTGGGTTGGGGAGAGGTTAAGCAAGTTTTACAATCTCCCCATAAAAATTATCAATATTGGACCATGTTTCGGGGAAGCCCGCATAGAGAGGTACCACCATTAATCGGCGTTTTGCAGATTTTAAGCAGCATTTTCGCATATTTTCCAGATATTGTTACTACCCCATTTTCGATATTTGGAAGGTTTGAACCACATTTCCCACCAGAGTAAACTGTAATAACTGAGGCGTTCAGTGCACATTTCGATAAATCCACTTTTTGAAATAGCTTTAAGTTAAATTGTAAAATGGCATATGCATAAGAACTTTTTAACGGGTTAACCAACATTATGAGGATTCATTTGACATATATGCAAAGGAATTGAAAATTGAAACCCACATTTATGTTTTTGATTTTTACATTACTCCCAGTTATCCACATTGAGTGTATGTAATTTGATGTTTCAGTTTCCCACGCAAACAACCTAATAACAGGAAATTTACAATGATATAGAAGCGTGTAGGGTATAAAAATTCTAACTTTAGATGTTTAGCTTGTGCCTGGACTTTGTGCAAGTCCTGACTCGTATCCTCTGAGTTAATGGCTTTTTCCTAGGTTAGAGTTTACATTTTAAATATTCTACTCACATCATAGAGATTAATCACTTCAGCTGTATTGCCAGCCTTTTCCAAGTTAATATGATCAGTGTTTGGTTTTCTAAAATATGAAATGAGAATGTAAATAAGACAAACAATGCTTGCACCCGTCAAACTGACAACTTACCCAACGGCAACAATTTCTGTAAACTCGCTAAGGGCAACCACATCTGTGGCTATATTATCGGCATTGTTCAGTTCTTTGCCAGTACTAAATGCCTTTGCCACTATAGTCATACTTTGCCCCGATATCCTGCTGGTATCAAATATCACTGTAATAGTATCGCTGGCACCCTTGGCCATCGGTTGGCCCTGATTGAGATCACAGAGTAAAGATACGTCCTGATTATTCGTTTTGCAGTTGGATGGAATCTTGGCAAAAGGCATGCGGTTGGAGGAGGTGATGTTGATTTGTGGTAAATAGGCAGTTTCGCCATTGTTGGACACATCATATGATACGCTAAATGTGCGACTGCTACCCAAGACAAAGTTCTTCCTGCGCATATAAATATATGAAGTTATATAAATAAAATGTTACATCTGGATCAACGATATATATTTTCGATTACTCACTCCAAATTACTTTTCACTTGCAAATCCGCTACACATATTTGTGAAGCACATCCGGTACTAAAGATAATTTTCTCTTTGTGTGATGTAGGTTCTGCGGGGTCTACTGCGGCACAAGTTTCACAAAATTCTGCAACATAAAGGGGGTAAATGAACAACTTCCGAATATAGATATTCTTATTTTGTGACGCTCACCTTCAGAATTTGGAATGCCATTCACCAACTTATAACGTAGTTCCATTTCGATAGGTTTGAATATTGTTTCAACATTGAAACGGACATTGCAATCGATTTGGGTGCACTGATTCGTCGTGGTAGCTGTAACTTTGAATTTCATTTCGTTGCTATTCGTGGAGGCAATTTGAACACGCTTTACTTGTGGATCAAGAATGACGTGCATGTTCAGATCTTGTGACTGGACTTTGGTCGAAGTTGTGGCAATACTGTAGCACACTTCGACACGGAAAGAAGTTTGTTCAGGCTTAATTTCACGTGTTGCCGAAGAAATTGTAGCCTTTATGGAGACAACAGGATAGGAACGATATACGAATACGGTTTCGGCATTTGGAGCACCAATGGCAAAATCATTGAAACCATTGCCATCGATGTCGGAACCCTTGGATAGACCATGGCCGAACATAGCTTGTCCGTAGGCGGATTGTGTGGTGTCTGTGAAATCAAAGCGCTGACTAGGTTGTTCGCGCAGACCATGCTCACCGCCCAAATAAATAAACACAGCGCCATTCTGAGCGAAAGGAGCACCAACTGCAATGTCATTGAAGCCGTCATGGTTGATATCACCCAAAGAGGTGAGTGTAGTGCCAAATCGGGCTTTGGCATGTATGGGTGAAATAATGGTCTTGCTTTCAAAATCCATCTAAAAAGAAGAAGAAGAAGTAAAATGTAATGTAACACATTCGAATGTCTCAGAAGTTACACTTACATTGCCTTTATTGAGAAAAACATAAATTGCACCGTCATCAAATGAACCGGAAATACTATATTGTGGGGCAGACACTATGACATCGGTCAAACCGTCTCCATTGATATCTTCAGCTAAAGCCGCGTAACCAAAATATTCTCCAAACTGGGAACCACGTAAAGTGTACAGCTTATTTATTGTATTTCTATGATAATCGAAAATATAGGCCTAAAAGTGAAATAATTAGTAGACTTTCTCGTTCGCATGACCCGGATAAGACTTACCAATCCAGACTGTTCACTGTCCTGAGGTGCTGTTGCTACATAAAGCAATTTGTTGCGATCGTTTGAATTAAAATATCCTGACGCTACGGAGTAACCAAAGTATGAGTCGTCCGCTTGATCGAACGTCTTGGGGTTTGGTATGTTTGTTTCGTATCTCGTAAATGGTGCTGGTTGAACGTCCGCCTGCCGGGTAACTCGTGAAACACTGCTGGTATCGCGACGACTCAAACTCGGCTCATCGGTATCCACCACTTTGCGATAACGGATTACAGAACCTTTCCATGTGTGTATACCAGGGGCACCGATTAAAAATTCCTCGTTGTCGGCTGTCACATGGGCACAAATACCCTGTTCCGCCAACATGTAATAATAGATGCGTTTCCCATTTTCATCCATAATTTGCTCCTGCTTACCGCGTAGTGGTGATATTCTCGTCACATTCACGGGATTCGGTGTCAGGGTGTCATTGATCCAATAGCAGACACCATGCATTAGATAATCGTTGGTAACGGGTGTTATAAATCGGGGAGCACATACGATAAGTTTATCGGTATCTTTTGGACCACCATCTATGGACGCCCCCAACCACTGGTGATCTTTTTTCTCGGAATCGTACGAATATTCATTTGCCGGTACGTTGACATTTCCACGATCCTCGAACACATAGGTATTGCATTGTGATGTTCCAGTCAAGGTACAGCGATAAATAGCACCAGTTTCGTTAATACCACGTTGTGCTTCCAACGTTGATTGTGCACGTGGAGCACCAACTATAATGCTGCAATAAAAACAAATTATAACAGAATCGTGCAATAAACGAGGGGGAAATGACAAAAATTAAATTGTAAATAATATAAGTGTGTAATTGAATATTTATTGAATTAAATATTCAAATAACCTTATACCGCAATCCACGATGTTCCCCTAATAATGTTTGTTACACCCTACCAAGGTTATACCCACCGTAGTTAGTTTTGAGAATTTACATAGAATCACTTTCTGAGTATATTTCAACATGTCCGTTTGTCCACATATTAGAAATTTGGCACAGATCATATATTTGTCCCAAGGACGAATATTTTTGAAAATGGTAAAAATCGTTTCAGATTTAGGCATAGCTCCAATATATTTTCGTACGATTTTACATTACTGCAATGTTTGTCCGATTAAGACAACAATTTGAAGAGAACACGACACATTTGAGGCCAGAATGGCATGTGCTAAGTTTTGTTAATTTTTTTTAATGGTAAACCAATTTTATCTAAATGGTACACCAAATACCCTATATTTTTCAATTTAAAATTTTCAATTAACTGAAAATACATTTTTCCAGTTTGATGACCACGTTAAAGTTTATAATAAATCGAGAACTTACTTCTTATTATGTATATTGAGCAACTAAAAATAAACAAATGGGGATTTTGAATGATTGAATGTGAGGCATTGTTATATTGCACAAAAATATGAATCAACAAGCAAGCGTACAAAAGGCATTACGCTGGACTACACCCAATGAAAATGGCATTAGTAATTTGAATTTTCTAGGAATCATTCAGATACCGATTGAAAGCCTATTGAAAACAAAACCAATTGACATACTCTTCATAGAAAAGCAGACAAATTCTTAGTGAAAGCATGAAATGAAGTGTCAAATATACCTACGTTTATACACATTGAATTGCGATTAGTCATCTTAATCCACTATATTAATGATGACTCAGACATTTTTTATATTTGCCCTATATATTGACTGTTATGTTGTTTTTGGCAGTTACCGAATAATAATACTAATAATCAATATAAATTTCACATATTGTTGATAGGTATGTTCATTCGCTCAATAATTTGTAAAAAAATAAAAAGTCAGTAAAAAGGGAGTGGATTGAGAGAGCAGATTTTAAACCCAGTTCTTACATATTATAAATTTCTTATTATAAATTTTTTGAAACTTTTTGTAACACTCACAATTTTATCTAAATGATACACCAATAAATTTTTCAATTTAAAATTTTCAATTAACTGAAAATACATTTTTCGCTTGTTACAATGGGACAAAAGTAGGTAAATGGACTTCAAACAAATATCAATAGGTCTGTACTTCTAAAAAAACGCAACTAAGTAATTCTATGCTCAATTTTGTACGTTGTGCAAAATTTGATGTCAACTAAAAATAAACAAATGTCCAATTTACTTAAAATCGGGCGAAAATATATATGGGAGTTATATAGTAACATGAACCGATTTCAACGAAACTTGCCACAGGTTAGGTAATACTAATTTCAGTACGTTTTGTTCCTATCAGCCATATATGGCATTGGTAATTCAATTTTTAAAATCAATCTATAATATAAAGCTATATCTAAAACAAAACCAATTTTCACAAACTTGGCACACATCAGCAGACAAATTCAGTACGCTACGAAAATTTGGTGCAAGTCGTCAAATATATGGGACTTTATACACATTGAATACACCATTTACATGAAATCGGACTATATTACATATGGGAACTATATCATATCTGAATATTTTTCCCTATATATTGACTGTTATGTTGTTTTTGGCAAATGAATGAGCTGTGCCAAATTTCATACAATTCGATAATAAATTTACATATTTTACAATTTAACATGGACAGACGGACGGGCAGACGGACATGCGTAAATCGACTTAGAAAGTGATTCTATGCATATTCTCAAAAGGAACCATGGGTCTATTTCGATTCCTTTTGCATATGCACAAAGACGTAATACCCTGTACCACAGTATGGTATAAATTTGTTATTTTAAATTTTTTGAAACTATTTTGTAACAATTTTATAAAAAATTAAATTCCATTTTGTACATCAACTTTTTACATTAAGTCATATTATTCTGAGATTTTTTTCGGAAAAAATAAACAAACGCACCTAATATATTGCACAACATAACATATATGGTATGTTCCAGTACTTTTTTAATAGTAAATGCCAAAATTAGATGGTAATACTTCAAAATCAACATAACAGCCAATCTGAAGTAGGCATTCCTGTTTACCATTTTTACTCGGGCAAATTTCTCGAGTAAAAAGTTTTCAAAGAGAACGCCACTTTGTTTTTGCTCTCTTAAATATAATTCAATGTTATACCAGTTTTTTGGGTTCAGGAACGGTTTACGAGGAAAACGGAACTATAGTGGGTCACAGTCAAAAGGATATTATGTCTTTGTAGATATGTTTGTAACAGGCAAAAGGTATCGAGATAGACCAGCAGTGCCCAAAATTGGTCTCATGGGCTGTCGGTGTGCGTCAAATTTCTCACATACACAATTACAAAAAGAGAAACATTTGAACATAAAAAAATATTTTCAAAATTCTCACTTATTCGTTTTTGTTTTCATACACTGAAGGAGAAAAAAGGGCATATTTTTGACAAAAATTATTTTGGAAGAAGTTGAAATATGTGAACAATACTATGGTAATATGGGAAACAGAAGCATATTTTGATTGAATACACAATATTTTTCTTCCTTTAAATTTGAAATGAATTTTTCAACATTTCTCACAACTGTTTGTGGTCCAATGTTGCCCACAGGAAACAACATGTTTTAGAGCTTATATTTAACAATCAGCTAGTAGGTACATATATATTATTTGGATGTCACATGTCAAGACTTGATTATAAACGACACATATCAAAAGAAAAATCAAAAAAATTCAAAATGTTGGTAAAGTTATGAGCTTTTCAATATAGAGAAGAGGGCAAATTTGTGTAAAGTACTAAATTGTGTATACAGTCCAAAATATTTAAATCGCTTCGTATTCAAATTGTACGAATTCTGCCATCAAAACTATTTTTGATTCTTGCAAAAATAAATACAGAGAATAATTTAAAATTATTTTTTCTCGATTTTGCTATTGGTTTTCTTGATATTGGACTTTAATTTTAGGATAGTTGTGAAATAAATTTGTGAACAGAAATTTGTTCTAAGATTGCGGAAAAAATTCGGGACTCAAAGGATTAATGTCGATTTATGCATTTCCGCCCGATTCGAATAAGATAATTACCACATTTCTTTCGAAATTTGGCATAGCGTTCTGATTTGAGTCTACAGTAATATGTGTTAAGTTTCGTAAAAATCGGTTCAAATTTAGATATAACTCCCATATATATTTACTTGCGATTTTTAGCAAATGGTGCACTGAAGAGTTAAATGAAATTGGTTTAGATTTAGATATAGCTCGCATATATATTTTTCGATTTTAGCACTCTGTGTTGTATCATAATGAATAGTTTGATTTAAATCGATTTACATAAATTTGACTCTTTGCACAAAAAACGACCCTAAATCTGCCCTAATGAAACTGAATTTGACATAGGTTACTAAGGACATGTGTGTGGATTAATGTAGCCAATAATTGTAAAAACATTTTTTTTTTTATTTTATTATTATTATTTATTGTACAAAATTTGAGCGTATTCGGTTAAAAAGCTGGAAGTCTTCGTTATATGGGGGCTACCAGGAAAAGTGGACTACAACTTATATTTTTTAGTGGAGACATTTTGTACCCAATAAGAATTCATTTGAGCGAATTCATTGGAATACCGCGCTCAAAAACCCCAAAAAATAGAGCATTTGGGGGGAGGGGGGTTACACTTATAGCTCATATTCGAACTTGTCCTGTCTGGAGACAAAAGACAATTCTATGTAAAATTTAAGCGATCTATCTCAATTCGTTCAGAGGCTACAGATTACAACAGACAGACGGACATGCTTAAATCGTCATAGGAAATAATTATTTCGATGAGATATAAACGGAAAAACAAACTTAATATACCCTCCATACTATGGAAGGTATAATAAGTATTACTTAATATTGCATTTGCAATATTTGAATTTATTATCAAGAATTCAAATGGTTTAGATTTGGATACAGTTACCATACGTCTTGTCATTTAAGAAAATATATAAAATACGCACCTAAAATTCAGTACTTCAGATGAAGCTGAACATGATTCCTAAAAGTACCCTAAAACAACATGTATTAAATTTGTTTCAATATAAATAAAGAAATAACTATTTTCGTCAGTTTATTATTTTAATTTCTGCACTCAAAATATTTTATTAAAGAAAATATGATTTTTTTTTTGTGCTGACACAGCTTATGTCGAGTGTTTTCATTAAATCTGATGCACTACAGTTCAATTTATTTTTTCACTTTTTCAATTGTGAAAAAGTGTGATTATTTGAAAATTATCTATAGTTATTTTGGCTACTTAATATTGAAGATAATTATCTTATAATCATAACAAAATAATTAGAAATATCCGCGCACTTTCCACAACGTGCGTACACATTGTTTACGATACGTACATTGCTTGCAGAATCACATAGAGGAAGAAAACTTATATTATTTCGGCAGACAAGGTGTCCATTCTATTTTTAAATTTATCTGTTTGTATTACGTAAGATATTGACAATCTATAACAAGAAATGTTGTTGCAGATTGTTAATATTAAAAAAAATATATAAAAATATTTTAGACATATATATCTATTTTTTGACCTGGAACAAATTTACAATGTTATTGAATCAATTTTTTTATATAGGAGTTATGCCGTCAATATCAAAAAGAAAATTGTAGTCCACATTACTCAAAGTTCCTCTACAAAACCAGTATATATTCAATTAGATAATACCGCTGATTTTCAAATCAAAACTCAGAAAAAAACTATAAAATGTTTCTCCGTAGATGTAAATACGGATTAGGCTCACTATTAATACAAACCTCATTGGTGGTATTCAAATATGCAATAATATTTATAATCTTTCGACAATTTCATAACATTGGGTGAAAATACTGAGCTGTACCAGTTAAGGCAGGGTAGATTATAGTTTCAGTTACCTTAATTTTTTTTTTTTTTTTTGATATTCTCTCCCGATGAAATGTTTTACAAAAAAGACATTTTATACCCAAATGCCATAAGTAAAATATAATTTTTTTCAAAATCTGGCCCAGATTCTGAAATATTTGAAAAAACAAAATAAAAATTGAATTTATTAAAGGTCAATTCAAATTTACGAACTTGGGGTCTAGTCATGACAAAATGTTGCCATTATACAAACTTAACGTGCTCATGTGGTGATTTTGTTATTTCATTATAATAAATTGCAATTTTGGGAATTAACCTAATTAAAATTATCTACAGAACGACCAATTATGCAGTGACATTTAATACCACAAAACGAATGAAATTCTAGCAAAACTACGGTCAACAGAAATGACAAAGTTGGACAAGGCAAACACATTACCAATTATTTGTTATTGTCCAACTGTTGTTGTTGCTATCATTATTATTCAGTTAAAAATGAAAATTAATAATATTATATTTTCGGTATAATCTTATCACATTTACTATTTAGAGGGTCGAAGAAAGGCGGGTTACGGGTTTTCAATGGCATTGCTTGATAAAATGTTTGTGGCAGTATTACAGAAGAAGAAGAAGAAACAACATTTTCGAAAATCAACAGAGGAAGAAGAAACAACATTTTCGAAAATCAACGATTATCATTACAAGGTTATGATTGTGATGACCAAGTCATTAACACAACTTATTTGCGACTTACACCTCATTGTTATTAATATTCAATATCGATCGATGAGTGTGTAAACAATTAATGAAATGGGTTATTATTCAAATAAAATATAGGCAAAAATTCGAAGCAGTAAATCGAATTCTATTTAAACCAATATTTGATGGGGGGGAAATTATCCAGGTATGAAGAAAATGTTTGTTTGTACTAAATAAATATTGACTTCATTTGTGAGTATTTGCCAGCAGTATCGCATACAGACACACAAACATATATTATCGCAAACATACTCAGAGATAAAGAAGTGAAGATATGCAAGCCTTAGTATGACTTCATTCCACCGATACTAACTGTTTTTCAACGAAAACGAACAACGATCCCATATGATATTGATGACAAACCCTGCAATTTGTTCTCTGTCGCTATGATTCATTTTTGTTTTTTTTTTACTTTACAAATTCCAATAAACACGGCTTGCTGACGAATAGCATGGACATATCTTTTGTCCAGCAACGCACGCATTTACTCACCCCAATGGCCTCAGGTTTAAAGCAAATCCAAAATACGACGATTGATATTTTGGCATATCTGTTACAAAACCAGGATCCTTAACGATTATATTCGGTTTGGGTGATAAATTAAAACAACTGACATTATTCGTTAAAAGAACTAGCAGAAGTAAGCTGCCAATATATGACAGCTTTAATTTTGGCGGCATCATAATTGTTGGGCTGTAATGCCGTTTAGCTTTCAATCAACACTTCCCAACACACAAACACTCGCGACACCCGTTCGACTATCTACTTATCGCACACGATGGTATAGTATTTTTATGATTGATAGCGCGATAGCTTTCCAGATATTTAGGAGCGGTCTTAACAACCTCGCACGTTAGTAGCGTATATTGTACTGAAAATTCTATTCTGACAACGATACAATGGAAGTTAACTGTGAAATTACGCTCGCCGACCAATCTATTATCGTGTATGAACGTCTCTGAAGCCATGCGAGCCGCTGCTCAAATGCACTGTTTAAGATCATATTGAGAGAAACTTAACTACTTAGGCGGTCAAAAGAAAGATATGTGCTCACATAGCTCAATGCTCTCAGTTAACTCCGTTAGCCGAAAAAAGTTTTTACCAAAAAAAGTAAGATGTTTACAACTTAACAATGTTTCTCCGAACCCCTCCATTTACATGTCATTGCCGATTGGGCCTTTGTGTCGTCTTTTATTTTGTTTATAAATTTACATTGTTGTTGTCTTCTTTGTCCGAGATTTCCAGTGTCAGCTTTTGTTGTGAATATTGTCGTGCTTTTTTGCAGATATCTTATGCAATTAAACGCGATTTAATTCAGATCACGTTTAGTTTAATTTTGGATTGTATTGCGGGAAAATACTAACAATTCGACACATTGTTATCAACTTGTATCGGAATTATGAATGGATGAATCACTTATTTACATATGATGTATATGTATATGTTCAAATACACTTGCTCTGTGCATTTAATGAAACAATACTGTTAAATATAAAAAGTCAAAATATGGAAATTATCAAAATTTATTCATGAACAGAGTTTGAGAAAAATTGGCTTTGCCTTTGTATGTCAGTTTAAGGAGAAAACATTGCAATAATTATATGCCTTTGAAAATCATCACAAACAAAATCATTAAATGCATTGAAGAAATTGACTTCAATATATATATGTAACTTAAATGACGCGTATCTTCGAAATACTATGTTTTAAAGCCACATAATTTGGTATGGTCCAGATCTATAGGTCTCCAAACACTTAATTATGCATAAGGAAAGGGATAACGGTCATATTTTTAACGGCCATTTTTTGAGAACTCATACGTCAACCATTCATATAATATAACTTAACAAATTTCTGAAATTTTACTGCCAACTTTTAAGTAAACGAAATTTATGATTTTTTTAGGTTGTGATAATTTGTGGGGCATTTATGTTCTTTATCGAGGTTTGGTGGAAATTTTACGATCATATCACTAAAAATGAAGAACTATTATGATATTTTGTAACTTTCGGAAACTATAACATTTATGTTTGGTGCATTCAGTTGTGAGTTCAGGGTGCTCAAAATGGAAGTGAACAAAGAGAAAATTCGGAACATTTTACAGTTTTTCTTTGACAAAGGCGAAAATGCAAGTCAAGCGGTCAAAATTATGAAAATTGTGTTGTTCCCATACTGTAACAGCCAATTATGTGCAATTTTGGTTTCGTGGAATCCGTTCAGGAATTTGTATACCCTCCACCATAGTACGGATCTAAAGTATTTTTTTAACAGAAATGTTTTTTTTTATTTTTTGCTTAACTTTATATTTAACTGGCATATTTCCCGATGTATGACATGGAAAATAAGAGTTTCAATATGTTTCATTCATTGAGTCATGGTACTTCCTCCAAAAACCTTGAAAATAATTTATATATCCCCAGTCTTATGGCTTATTGGATACGGCAAAAATATGCCTCATCAAAATTTTGGTTTTAGACCCCATGTTTCTTTAGGCAAAAGCCTTTTCAGACAATTTGGAGTCGAGTTATAAATGTCCGTTCGTCTGTCTATCTTGAAGGGAGTAATCGGTCATATCCAAACATTGTACATCTTAATATTTCTTCCAAACATAGTTCAAATGGGGAATATCGGTCCATTCCTTCTGGTACCTCTCCCAATAAACCGTTAAACTTGTGATAAAAATTAATTTTATATACATATCATGCGAACGAACTATCTGATTTGAAACAAACTTTGTACAAACTAATATCTCCACCAAGCCTAGATCAAGTCTGAATATGGGACTAATGGTCTACTCCTTCACCCACATAGGGTCAAATGTATATTAATTCAATATTAGGCGAAAGGAATGTTCGATTTGACCTGTTATCTTCACCAAGTCAATATAAGCTGCGAAGGTGAGACCCGCCGGCCCTCTCCTTCTAGCATCTCCCCATAAATGGTCAAAAATTTCAATATTTCACAACCCAAAATTTGTTAATATTTTTTATTTGTAAAATTTTAAATGGGCTGGTAAATGAATATCAATGCTTGTTAAGGTTTGTAACTTTGCACATATATATTTAAAGATTTAAAAAGGAAGAAAAATAATTTACAAAAAAAGTTTGTTGTTGTTTTTTGTGATTAAAGAAAAGTCCGAATGGAATAGTAATTTGACCATTCAACTTCTTTGATAAATACATTTACCTTAAATAAACCGAAACTTGTGTATAATTCCGAAGACATAAATGGTTTATAACAGTTTTATGGTCGATTTTCAGCTGCTGGGCGATGTTACGACTGCGACCGGCCTACCTTGGCTTGAATTTTCCCCTTTGTCAAAGAAAAACTGTAAAATGTACCGATTTTTTTTCCACTTTCATTTTTTAACACCCTGTAACTCAGAACTGAATGCACCAATCAAAAAACAAGAAAATAATTTTTTTACTGCGAAATGTCACCCTTCCAACGAGCATTAATCTGAAATTGTTTGATCGATACTTTACGAAAACATTTGCCGAAAAATAATGGATTTATTTTTCCCCAATCTAATATATGGGAAATTACAAAATTCTTTTAAAATTCCATAATTTGAAAAATTTTTTTGCGAGCACATTCATGATTTTTGGTACATAGGTTAAGAAAAATATGCTGATTCGAAATATATACGCGTTTACAAATTCGGATGCTGCGCACAAAAATTATAGCGGTTTTAAATCTTGTATTTCAAATATAAATTAAATTAATTCTTATTTGTTGTAATTCGCGAATTTCTTCACAACAGGTTAAACACATTTGTTTTCTTTGCATACTTGTCAAATCACATAGAATTACGGTTAAATTGTCACGAAAAACAAATAGAAGCATGAAGACATCTGAAAATAAAATAAATTAATTTTTTAATTAAATCGAAATGTTTTTTGAATTTTCGATTTTTTAGTATGGTTAAGGGATTACGGGTTTGCCTTAATCTTCTAAAATATGCGACGCTTTTTTCTTCAAATTCTTTTAGATGATTGTTAAATATCGGTATATTCATCTGATAACAGTTTCGACGATTTCAGTAATCTCCTATGAAAATACACAAACCTATTTTAAAAGGACCGGTTAAGAACCGCGGATGTGCCTCCACAATCGATTTTGGATAAAATACGCATATTATTCGCGTATCGATATATTTTTGACATATTTTCACACAGACTCGCGAATATGATAAGACAAAAATGAATGTGAAATCAATTCGAAGAGAAACGCGATTATATACGCGAATTTGTCAAAACAAGTTTTTGTAGTTTTTCCCACATTCAAGGTACCTATATCCGCCGTTTTATTGGGCGGAATTTAACATGACTGGGTTCATTAGATCCGGCACTTAAAAAAACTAAAATCACGCGGGGTTCCACGGAATTTCAATGGACCTTCTTAAATTAGGACTCAAAAAATAGTCCATTATCTGGATGCGCATCCTAATTATAAGAAAAATTCAAAAAACACCTAAAATCCGGCTTCAAAATGTCAGCATCCTTTTTGGGTGGATACAGTGATTATATCGAAAAATCATACATTAGAACCATATTGTCCATGGGGTATTCTGCAACTTAGTCACTGGTCACATGTGCGTGCGTAGTGTAGTTTAGCCACAAATCAGGAAGAAACACAAAAAAACTCGTTGGCTTCAACACATTTTCACCCATTTTTTGCATTACCACCATCACAGCTTCCACCCAACTTATTATTTATTACCAATACTTTAAGATTTTGACAAGAACACTTCATTCTATAGAAATGAATTTAAATTTTATACAATATGTTCATATTTCGCGAGTTATAAGCTTGCAAACCTCAGCTTCAAGGAATTTAAAAGATTTTTGTAATTTCCCATATATATATATATATATATATATATTTATCGACGGTAAAAAAGACATCCAATCCATCCAATATTAACGCTAGATTTACGGATGTTGAATATATACGTTATTTTACTAAAGTGATCCATATTGACTCATACCAGAAAATGTATGTTTTCTGTAAAGAAAACTGTTCCAATTCAATTTATTTATTTATTTTTTTTTTTTTGCAAATGTGTAAATCTAATAGAAAACTGTAAATCTAATAGAAGACCTATGGATCAACTCTCGCTAGTATGTCCTCCAAAAATTGTCAATACTTTGTTATCTTCTCCAATTTCCCTTCGTAGTTTAAAAGCCCATGTGATACTTGAATGTTGTAAAATAAATATTAGTATTCAATTGACTCACTCTTTAAATCTAGTGTTAATGTTGAATCGTTTTGTCCTACATAAATGCATTGAATATGCTAATTAAATAATTTACTATACTGCATACTTTTAGGCGTTATTGAAAATTGCAAGTATCATTAGTTATATTTTGTTCCGACGGGCTTTTGAACAAAGTTATTCGCTCATAGATTCTAAGATTCTAGATTCTAAGACTTAGAATCTCGATAAAATCTCATGCAATTGCTATTGAAATAAATATTTTATATGTTATCATAGGCTAGTTTATGTGTTGTAGTAACGCCATTTCTGCAAGTTACGATGAGAATAAATAATAAAAATTAAATTTCGCTTGAAATTGATATTTAAAAAGAATTTATTGCTTTACAATGTAATGTTTAATGTTTTTAGAAAAAAAAAACACCACAAACCTTTTTAAATAAACACAAGGACGGGTATTGTGGTATACATTGAGTTAACATGGGAAAACTTGAAATTTTATTATTTCTTGGGATATTGGGAAAACATTACCAGCATATTACCAAAAGGTATATTGTTGAATAAGTTTACACCATAGAAGATCAAGTACATAAATGGACTACATCGGTCAAGCACATCTGGTAGTTCTCCCACAAACAGTTTATTAAGAAAACAAATCTCATATAAAGCTTACGAAGTGACCGAAAATATGTATACATACTTTGAAAACTTTTATTTATTTATTAGTATATGGATATTTTCCTTACAGACTATATAATACAAAATGTTATACTTAATTTCATGAATTTAAATATATTACAATTTTACTTTTCAATGCTTCAAGATTCATAGAAAAATCAATAAGATTATATAATTCATTAAAATCGTTAGACATTCTTGTTAAGGGATCTGCATTTGAATAATTCATTCTAGAAAATTGAATAGCTAGTGGTACATAATTGCGAGTAGCTCTTTGGGGAATATTGAAACAAATGTTGTTGATTAAAAATCCAGCATAACCGTCACCCATTATTACATTAAAAATAAATGATACATTCAACATTTTCCTTCGGCTTTTTAAAGTTGGCAGCTTGATGAGGGAAAGTCTATCTGTATATGATGGAAGATTATAATTCGAGAAGTTTAAGTTCTGTAAATAGAAAATTAGAAACTGCTTTTGAACGGACTCGATGCGATCACTGTGTGTAATATATATAGGATCCCATATGATCGAAGAGTATTCCAATATAGGGCGAACAAGCGTTGTATATAAATTTCTTGTGACATAAGGATCCATGAACTCTTTACTCCACCGTTTAATAAGCCCAAGCACGGACTTTGCTTTGTTTATTGTTACTGAAATGTGGGAATTAAAATTCAGTTTACGATCCAAAAGAACTCCTAGATCCACAAACTCATTAACTTTTTCCAGAGAGTAGCCGTTAAGTGCATTCAGATCATGTTGTAACAAATCATTACTTGAGATGTCTGAAAAACTGAGAAATAATTTCACATCATCGGCATACATCAAGATATATGAAAACTTTATTATTTGAGGCAGGTCATTCATGAATAAAGAAAATAGAAGAGGACCTAGATGGCTGCCTTGTGGCACTCCAGAGGAAACTGCAATACTTCTCGATATGGTATTATTAAATTTTACATTTTGTGTCCTATGTTTTAGGTATGAAGAAATCCAGTTGAGACTTCTGTTAGTAAATCCCAGGCACTCAAGTTTTAATCGTAACAGCTTATGATTGACTTTATCAAATGCTTTGCTGAAGTCCGTGTAAACAGCATCGGTTTGCATTCCTCGAAGAAATCCCCGATTGACTATGGTGGAGAAGTGCAGAAGGTTCGTTGCTGTGGAGCATTTTTTCTGAAATCCATGCTGGTAGGGAGATATAAGGGAACTAACATGATGGTAAATGTTATCAGTTATTATTTTTTCAAAGAGCTTTGGAATTATACTTAATTTTGCAATTCCACGATAATTAGCAACATCGGATTTATTTCCATTTTTAAATAGTGGAATGATATATGACGTTTTCCATTTGTGAGGAAATACAGCTTGATTAATCGAAGCGTTAAACAGCATAGTTAAAGGTAAAACAAAAGCTTATTTATAAATGAAACATATTAATTTGGATTCTGAATTGCAGTAATAGATTTTTATAGTTTATCAACATTATTCCCCCACAAAACGTGAAACTAGTTTTTTATTTTCATTTATAATTGAAGAAAAAGAAAGTCAATGTTTAAATGATAATCTGTCTAATATAATCATAGTAATTTCGTTGGAGCTTTCGAATGGGTTAAGCTTTTTTAATTATTTTTTATATGATTATTATTTAGCTGTTCCCCAACCTCTCTGCAAATTTTTGCGGCTTTAGACAACATGTAGCCATTACAGCGCTAACTTTGGATGGGTACAAATGTACCACGGTTATTGATCTACGTATCCTTTTTTGGTTGTTGACCGTAGCATTAATTTCGCACCATGTTATTAGAATATTTAGTTAGAAGGCACTTGTGCCACCAATACAACCTACAACGCCAGGAATTTTGAGCTTTTTATACAATTCTAAAACAACTTCTCGGAATATTTTCCAACTCAGGTTTGGTATAAGCCTTCTGCAAAACAATCAATGCGGCACTCAACTTCATTATAGCAGGGATACCAAACTGTTTTCCCTTTGTATTTTTTTCATCGTTTTAGGTTCAATTGAATATGTAATTGTATTTTTTCCCATGAATTTTTGGAATTTCTCTGTAAAATTTATTGATAAAATGGATAACTCGATATTGAAATACCGTTTTTATAGGTATCACAGTTTATATTTTTTCTCAAAGTTTAAGTATTCTTGAGTGTTAAGAAGCAATGTTAATAAATATTTAATAGAAAATTGTAATATCTGGTCACAAACAACCAAATAGAAATGACAAGGGATACATTTGGGTTGGGGTTAATAAAACGCATTGTGAAAAACTCATTGTCGCCGATTATACGATTGAAATATAAGTAAGAGAGATGTCTGAAGAATATAGTGCCTCCAGAGTGAATAAGTATAAAGCCAAAATCTCAGTTTCTAGGAGGTAGTCCACAAAAAAAACCGTCGTACTAATAATTCGTCCATACAGATGGTCAAAAACAATAATTCATTACATGTTACCAACTAGCTAAAGTCCTTCAAAACCCAATAGCTGCCACATATATGCGTACACGCCATATACAGACCCGCCATACAGTCCGGGCTTGGCACCAAGCGATTATAATATTTTTCTTGCATTGCAAAATTTCTTTAATGATAAAAAATTGGCATCTAGAGAGGATTGTGAAATTCGACTACTAGAGTTTTCTGCAAATAGAGAGCAGGACTTCTGTTAGAGAGGCATTATGAAGTTACCTTTAAAATGGCAACAAATCATACAACAAATCGGTTAAATAAAGTCCTATTATATTGTATATTATATAACTATATCAAAAACAAATCGGTTATAAAACTACAATAATTACATATTAGAAGAGCAAATACTTGTTCGATGAAAATTGTGTCATGTTTACGATACATACATAGGTAGTTCATATATCCTTCTGAACCACAAACATTTCGACGAATCCGGCAAAACTGTATTTTGTGCCTATTCATTAACGCCCATGTTTACAAGTAATAAAGAAAGTGTACAAAAAATGTTTTCGTATGTATTTTGTATATTTGTTAATATTTCATATAAAAAATTAATACTTATAAAATCTTATACATAGAGCACGCATCAGATTATCCTCGTTTCGATTTTTTATAGTGTCTGGAATAGAAAGCGTGCTGCGGTTTTTTTCCAATCAATAAAAATGTACAATTTCAAATACACGCAGCAATTTGCTCGACTTGGATTTAGTTTGTTGCGTTTCTTGCTCACTACACTTAATAGTTATTTACACATGGCAGCTAATAAGAACTTAACCTAAAACTAAAAAAATAAAATTAGGTCTAAGTATTCGATGATATCCTTATTTACGAATTAAAAAAATAAGGCAAAAACAAACATAAGAGAACACAAAAAGTACAGATCAAATCAAAAAACTAAAACAAATAAATTAACTTAAATTTATGCACACAAAAATAGTAACATTTGGTATCGAAATCGTCCTAAAATGCCTGACAACTCCTGCGGCAGCTACAGTTGACTATCAACACGTTCTCAGTGTTGGATTGATGGTGATGTTGTCCGATGTACGTCGGGACGTACATAACACGTTTGTTCTAAACAAATTAATGATAAAAAAATAAAATTTAAACAAATTTGTGCCACTTTTGTAAGACAAAAACGGCGGGAGGTGTATTCACAGCTTTTTGGACTCGAGACAAGATCACAATGAAAATCGAATGTCGCCGACATTGCACTTTCAATTGTCTTCGGTGTTAAGGTTCGACGTTTCGGTAACACCGTCATTCGACAGTTGGGCTTGGTGTACCAGCTTATCCATTTCCTCCTTTTTGGCACGCTTAAAGAAACCAGCTTTGTACATGCCATATGTTATCAGGGCTAAGGCTAGTAGGCCACCAATGATGGCCAAAATAATGACATATAAGGGTGTGCTGTACAATTGATGTTTCGCTATGAGATTGTACTCGATTTTCTTCGATATGGCCAAAGTTGAACCCAAGGGGTCATTCGTTTTCTGGACACCGACGTCAATCACTATCACAAAGAATTCCCACGGTTCAATTAGGATTTGATTGACTTCCTGCAGATCGACGTGATATTTCATGGTCACTGTGATGGGTTTCTTTGGTTTAAAATCGTACAGAGGGATAACAGCACGAACACATAATGTCATCTCGGGATCATTGCAGTTAAATACAATCGTTCGATTCACCGGCAATTTACCCTTCAAGTCTTCACCCAACAATTCAAATGATTTGGCGTGGGCAATACGGGCATACTGATCCTTGTTTGCTGTTAAAGCAGCAGCTTCGCGACGTCTTCTTCGTCGTGACAAACTGGATAATATTGATTCTGCAAAAATACATAAAACAATACAAATGGTGAAAAAACTGTATTTTACAACAACAATTTTTAAACTATTTACCTCCAAATGATTCTTCTTTGACGGTAAATTCGCCACCGTTATGCACTTCCATTGTCCGGAAATGACTGCTGCTTGAAGTCTCGGTCTTAACCTGTGTTGTAAATTGTGTCGAGAAACTTGACATTTTCTCTACCGCATTCATTAGTAGCTGGGTATTGTTCTGATAATAGCTGACATCCTTTATTTGTGCGTCGTACATAGCCAGCATTGTGATGTTGTTAATATCGACAATAGGTATGGTTTTTGTGGTACCTGGTATGGTATAGGCCACAGGAATATCAAAAACAAGTTGCATAGAACTGACAGTACTGGGACCATTGCTTTTGATCTGTAAACAAAGAAGGAGAGAAAAAAACAACTTTTTAGTAGGTGTCCATTAAAAGGCCTAATGTTTTACTGACATACATATTAAATGTAAATACCCTCTACCATTGGACCACAGAAACTATACATATATTTCAAATAATATTACATTTATTTATAAATACACCACGTTGATTTGAAATCACGATAGGACAGAAGGGCGAATGTCATCCAAATAACTTTACCACCGTAATAATATTGATAATGTAGATAGCATTGCTTAAGCAAATTAAGTTAAATATGGAATTTCTGTGGTTTTTGATTTATTAACGCAGAATGGTTCGCTGTATAGACATAATGTTGTGTAAAAAATATGAATATATCTTACACACTCTGATTGAGAACATGTAGTATTTTATCTGTTCTTTATGAGTTGTGTGGCAATTGAAAACTTTAAACGAGATATATGGTATCGTTTGAATTTTGTTGCCTCATGGTGGAGGGTATACAAAGTTCCATGCAATTTAATTTTGACCACTTTTTTACAATATTTCTTACCTCATAGAAGTTTATGATTTCGGCCCTATCTGCGAGTTCTTCCAAAATGACAGGTTCGGTTTTTGGCACCCTACAAGAGATCAAGAAAACATGAGCAACACATTTCTCTTTGAAAAATGAAAAAAGTACTTACCCCACTGCTGATATTTCAGTGAATTCAGCCAGTGTTATAACATCGCTGGCAATATTATCTCCCGGAGTCTGCTCTTTGCCTGTACTAAAGACTTTAGCCATTAACACCATTTTCTCCCCCGATATATTGCTGGTATCGTATATCACAGTAATTGTATCCGATGTGCCCTTGGCCATAGGCTGTCCGTGATTCAGATCGCATAGCAGCATTGAATCTTGGCTATTGTGTTTACAGTTTGACGGTATTTTGGCAAATAGCATACGATTTGAAGAGGTGATGTTGATTTGTGGCAAATACGCAGTTTCGCCCATGTTAATGACATCGTAGGAAACTTTAAATGTTCGACTGCTACCCAGTATGAATGTGCGACTAAAGGATACACATAAAAAGGTCTATTAGTATGGATGTCTTAGTTAAATAGAATCACCCAAAACTCACTCTAATCTAGGTGTCATTTGCAAATCGGCGACACAAATATCTGTTGCACATCCTGTACTGAAGATGATCTTCTCGGTGGACGTCTTGGGTTCGGCAGGATCAACGGCGGCACAAGTTTCGCAAAACACTTTTGTAAAGAAAATGCAAAGAACCGCAAATGAGATAATAATTCGTAAAAAACGGCTATGTGAATATTTACCTTCAGAATTTGGAATGGCATGTACCAATTGATAGTGCAATTCCAATTCGATTGGTTTGAAGATGTCACTCACGCTGAAGCGGACATTGCAGTCAACAACTTTGCATTGCGTTGTAGTGGTGGCAGTGACATTGAATTGCAATTCATTGGTGTTTGTGGATATAATACGAACACGTTTCACCTGGGGGTCAACAACGACATTTAGGGCCAACTCCTGCGATTTGACTTTGCGAGAATTGGTAGCAATGCTGTAGCATACTGTCACGGGGAATGTTGTTTGTTCGGGACTAATTTCACGGGTTTGCGATGAAATGGTAGCCTTAATGCTAACAACTGGATACGAGTGATAGAGATACACGACTTCTGCGTTTGGAGCACCAATAGCGAAATCATTATAACCATTATCATCGATGTCTGAACCCTTGGATAGGCCATGGCCAAACATGGCACTGCCATAGGTCAACTGTTCTGTGCCTGGGTAGTCCAAACGTTGACTGGGTTGTTCTCGTAGACCACGCTCACTACCCATATACACAAAAACGGAACCATTTCCAGCAAATGGGGCACCAACAGCAATATCATTGAAGCCATCATAATTTATGTCGCCCAATTTGGTAAGTGTGGTGCCAAAACGGGCTTTTCCATGGAATGGCGAGGTCATAAGTTTGCGTTCGAAATTAAACTGTAAAAATTATTTAAAATATTGTTCGTTATAATTAATGCAAGGGAGAGGGAGAAGGGCGATCAACTTACATTTCCCTGATTAATAAATACATAGATGGCACCATCATCATATGAACCAGTGATTGTATATTGAGGAGCCGAAATAATAACATCCGTCAATTTATCACCATTGATATCTTCGGCAAGCACCGCGTAACCAAAATATTCACCAAACTGTTTACCACGGAAGACAAAGTGTTTGGCGATTTTATACTTGCTTATATAGTCGAAGACATAGGCCTGAAAATATGTATGTATGTATTAATACAAATACTAGGTAATTACAAGTTCAAAATCTTACCTCTCCTGATTGTTCATCTGCTTGTGGAGCTGTTGCCACATACATAAGTTTCTGAGGATTGTTCGAATCAAAATAACCGGATCCAACAGAATATCCAAAATACGAATCACTGGCCTGTTTGAAATTATTCGGATTGGGAATATTTGTTTCATAGATGACATGGGTTTGGCGTGCAACTCGTGACACTCGGCTGGTGTCACGACGACTTAAGCTTGGCTCATCGTTAATTTCCATTTTACGATAACGTATCACCGAACCCTTCCACGTATGGATACCGGGTGCACCAATTAGGAATTCCTCATTGTCCGGTGTCACATGCACGCTGAGACCCTGCTCGGCTAACATATAATAATAGTAGCGTTCGCCGTCATCGTCCCTAATTTGATCTCCTCTTGCTCGGAGTGGCGAAATTTGGCGTATTCCCTGTGGCGTTGCGGACAGTGTATCGTTGATCCAATAACATCTTCCATGCATCAGATAATCGTTTATGGCTGGCGTAATGAAACGGGGAGCACAGACAATTAATTTATCCGTATCCTTGGTACCGCCGTCCATTGCAGCGCCCATCCATTGGAAATCGCGTTTTTCCGAATCATATGAATATTCATTGTGTTCAATGTTGATATTTCCACGATTTTCAAAGACAAACGGAGTGCATTCTGGTGTACCATTGAAGGTGCAGCGGTATACGGCACCGGTTTCATTGATTTTTCGTTGTGATTCCAATGTTGATTGGGCACGAGGAGCACCAATAATTAGACTGAAAATAGAAAATGAAATATAAAAATCAGTACATGTAAACGAAAAATTAATTGTTTTTTTTTTTTTAATTAAAAAAATTTTATGAATGGATCAAAAGGAATCTCAGTCTATCAGACTCATTACAATAAATCATCCAGGATTATAAATTAAATTCTGTTTAAAAAAATATTAATACTAGGCTATGGTATATTTTAATATTTATTTACTTATTTTCGCCTCTAAAAATAATAAATATATCATTAATATAACAATGATTTTCATAAACATTTGTCATTCAATTATTAATACATTTGTGGTTTTATTATTATACGATAAAGATGTGATAAATTTTATATCGACTTAGAAATGCAAATTTGTATCTGTGTTTTCAATATTTTTTTAATGGACAAGTTAGTGTTCAGAGTGACCGAACCGAAATTTGTGTACAGTAAAAAATCGTTATCCGAATGGTAAATAATGCTCTTAATTTATTTATTTATTTTGAAAATTAAAAAATATATATTTTTTAGACAAATATAATGTTTTGTATGACCCCTTCAAAAAATTGGAATACTTCCTTTGCGTAGAAACCTACCGGCTTGTATATAAAGACTCCCTTCTGCTCATCAATTCAATATCTGACATCCCGAGTTATATATTGCAAAGTTATATTATTCCATAAATGCATCGCTTGTTGGAATTGTTGCACGAAACCGGAAACTAGTTTCACTCATAAATATCCCAAACTTTAATATTTGGCGGCTCGTTTAAAAAAGAAGCTTAGCGAAAATGGCGATTATAAAAATCTGCATATGGAGACGTCATAAAAATACGTCAAGTAAATTATAACACACGCACACACACTTGCCAAATTTGGTTGTAAAAGAACCCTTTTGTTCCGCCTCTCATTGCGACAGGCAGACAGTGGTAATGGACTTGCATATGGTAATTGTCATAAAGTTGTGCGATCGAAGTAAGAATGACCAATGTTTAATTAATATTCAATACACATTCAGCCATTGTCTGTCTATACGATGTCCAAAATTGTTTTGGACATTTGGCATTTTAAATTCTCATTAATATAACAAATTGTAAGAAATTAAAAAATACTAAATCCTATCCAGAAAATTTAACTGTCATTTAACAACAGTTAGCAGTTTGGGCGTGTATAGATTTGTCATAGTTATCAAATTTTTTCACATTTATGAAGATTATATATTCAGTGATTAATTCAAATGCTGGACCATTAAAATTTAAAGTGACTAATAAAAACGATAAAACCGGGTGTCGTCATAAATACTCATCACTTAATATTCCTCCGCTAAAGATCTGTAATTCAAACTTACCCCAATTTTCTAAGATTTAAGGTGAAACCAAAATATGACGCTTTATGTTTTGGAATAAAGGTGGGAAATTGTGGATCCCGAATGATGGCATTGGGCACTGGTGACAAGTTGTAAGACTCTGACACATCGATGTCATTGCACAAGAGCAGCGTTAGAAACACGATGGCGGAGCCAAATAACCGTAACCGGTAACATTTCGGTGTTACCATTTTTTTATTTCTTTATTGGCTTAATTTTTACGATTTTAAATATTTTCTATTACACAATTGACACACGCACACACGAACACAGACGGTATTACAACGACTTTATTTATGTTTTTATCTTTTTTACCACTTTCGATCGTTAACAAAGCGCGTTATGGGTTCTTAACAACCCAGCCCATGAGAAGCACAAATCAAACTAAAGATGCTGGACTCAATACGTGAAATGGTCAGTCGAAAAGCCAAACATCGAATAGCCAGCCGAACGTTTGTGTATTGATTAACGTGTTTATGTTCTCTTGTATGTCATCGTCGTCATTGTATGGCCAAAGAATCGACTGAACGTATGAGTAATGGAAAGCTTTAGCCATAAACCGGTAAGACGACTCGTGTTTGTGTTGATTGCCAGTCACACGCTCTCACTCTCAACACTCTCAATTAACTCTCCAGCTGAGTCTGATATGTTGTGAATGATCAATTGTGTTCGAACACTTTTAACTGGTACTCATAACTCGCGGTTTTTGGGTCAACTAAAGCTTAAGCCTTGTCATACACCCTCCAACTAACCCACACCGATGACAGTCGAAACCACTCAAAAACCAAAAGAGTCCAACTGTTGACTTGTGACGGCTGTTCGTTGTATTTTTTTCTTTTGATTTGTTGTTTTTTGTCTCGTTTTGTGGTTTTTTGTTTACAAGTGTTTGTCAAACGGTCTCCTCTCAATCATTTTCTTCTTCTTCTTCTTCGTTGCGTTTGTTTTGATTGGATTGAAAAAAAAAAACAACAACATTTGAAAGATTTCTCATAACCGTGTACTTGGAATATAGCATGAATCATCTCCTTTGTTGTCTTGTTGGACTGTCGTTACATTCGAAATGTTCAATTTATGTTAATACCGCATCAGTGTATCTGTGAACTCATGTCTGTCTGTCGCGTGTTAACTTTGGTTTTAATTTATTAATTAACGTTAACTTAGATTACCACACAACAACAACGACAAGAAAACAAAAACAACAAATTATGTAAAACATAAATATTGGAGAAAATGCTCCTAAACTATTTTATGGGGGTTTAACGCATAAAATAGTTTAGACGATTTTTTAAGCTAGATAAACTAATGGTGGTACTAAAATCCATTTGTATACCATCTTATTTTAAAGTTCTTCTCATAAGCTAAATTAATAATAAATTATATGAATACTACTTATTAACAATGTGTAGAAATTCTGTTTCTTAATTTTGGTGCATAGTCAGTACACTTTAACGGTACCGACCATTTTTAGAAAATTCAAGGTCATACACACATTCGCCATGATAGTATGTTGCAAATTGGCATTCCAGGGGTAAATATGTTAAATAAAATTCGAATTATGATCCTAATTTTCAATTAAGACCCTCTTATAGCTTTCCAATTCTAGATTGCTTCTAGATTTAAATTTTATAAGACACTGTAACACTAAATTATGAAAAATCTATAAAGTCAGTAAAATAAAGAGACCAATATCGATGCCATATTTAGGTATTACTTTTAAAAATTTTATACACTAGCTCTGTTTCAATGTTATAAAACTGTAAAAATAGTTAAATTACTCTAGAAAAATAAAACGCAACAAAATTCATCATTTGTAAAAATTATTTTTTTTTTTTTATTTTTGGAAAAGATCGGTTAATATTTAGGGGATGAAATGGACCAAATACTAAATTTTTGTCCGTTTTTCTGGTCGCTCCAGAGGCCGCAATTATGGCCCAAACACCGCGAATAAGCATGCCTGTTTTGATAAAGATCGGTCAATATTTAGCGGGTCAAATTTACCCTGACTTTTGTGTGAAAAATGACAAAATTTGTATTCTATGGCGAATATATTCACTTCTGAAGGACATAGACCCGAGAAGTTTATAATATATCCAAGGCCTTTAAATTGATACCAATTATATTATCGTATGTAATCGGATGTGGGAGTTAGACGTAAATATTTTCAGGAGCTTACGTATTCAGATATTATTTAGTAACCCATTACCACACTAGAGGAAGGAAATATAGCGCTGATCGCTTTGAAATTTTCCATGAGGGTCCAGTTATGGTCAAGGACAAAGCCTATAATTTTCGATGACGGTCAGATAATAATTTTGGAATGAAGTTGGCGAAAAACTTAATTTTTTGTGCTTTATGGAGTCGATATATAGGCCACAATTATAAGCCAAACATCACAACACAACCCACGGTGGAGGGAATCTGGACAAGTATAGAAGGGCTGTACTGAATGTTAGAAATTTTCGGAAAATATGGCAGTGTAAGGAAGAGGTGCTGTTGACCTCTAATCGGGCAAGAGGTTGCAAATATTAGAAATATTACACTGGCTCGGAATATAAATCCGCAGAAAGTTAGAGTTCCGTGTTAGTTGTGTAGGGTATCGTATGGTCGGCCCCGTCCGACTATACTACTGAAAATCTCCAAACAACCAAAAATTAATAACGAAGAAATACATACATAAAATGCTTTACTAACACAACTACAATGCTAATTTTGTTCTAAAGCGGCTAAAATAATTATTGTCGGCTTTAGAAAAATCGAACATGTCGTCTAATGGACATCATCAATTATACGCCAATATATTAATGATTTTTTAAATACCAGTGCTACCGTCGAATTCACACACACTTCTCATGTCTGTCTGGTTTCAAGAGAAACATAGAAATTAACTTATATTGTGTTTGTTGTTACACCAACAGACCTAGGTAATTTGCAAATAAACTCCGAAAGATAACACCGCTCACCAGGAAATTCAATTAAAATTTGTAATAAAAATTAATGCAAAAAATATCACAAAAACCCAAATAAATTTTGGTGAAAGTCATGAAATATGACTTCTGTCTGTATGACTCGGTATTTTATCTCTACGATGACAACAAGACTTTCTTAATATTGAATAGACCACAACAACACTACATAACCAAAAACAACTTCAGCCCTACAACCATTTTAATATTCGCTTAGAGCCAGCATAAATGAAGAAATAAGGAAACAGAAACAGTCAACAAAATGTTTGGCAAAGATAAATAATAACGATGTGTTTTTATGCTTTCATGCCAAGCGGTGAGATAATTTTGGCTGAGTTGTTGTTGTTGGCTTTTTGGGGATTATCTTAAGCTTTACGTTTTCTAAAATGTTTAATTTTGCCCGGCATATAATTCGAAAGGCGGGAGTGGGAAAGGTTAATAGCACAACAATGACAATCTAAGTGTTAATTAATTTAGTTCGGCCAATGAGTCATTCACACGATATGCTAAAAACAGAATAGAAAATAATTGCTATAATAACAAAGGAAATTATAAAAAAAACAGACAAAAAAACGTTATAGACAACAATAATTTCAATATGGAGATACGAATAGTAAGCAATACTTCAAAAAACCAGTTTGATGTTATTCAGAACATTTCGAAAGATCACACGTTTTTTATATTATTGGCTA